CCTCTGACCCCGGGCCCCAGATGTAAACTGCACGGCCCCTAAAGAGTCTAAAGAAAGATCAGAGAGCGACCCACAGAGAGCCCCCCCCCCCGCGGACAGAGAGCCCCCCCCGCAGGACAGAGAGGCCCCCCCCCCCCCGCAGGACAGAGAGCCCCCCCCCCGCAGGAGAGAGAGAGCCCCCCCCCGCAGGACAGAGAGGCCCCCCCCGCAGGAGAGAGAGCCCCCCCCGCAGGACAGAGAACCCCCCCCCGCCCAGGACAGAGAGGCCCCCCCCCCAGGACAGAGAGACCCCCCCCCCCGCAGGACAGAGAGGCCCCCCCCCAGGACAGAGAGACCCCCCCCCGCAGGACAGGGCCTCTCCTGCACTTATGTAAGAAACTCAAACACAAGGAGAACGTCTAGGAGAACGTCTGGGAGAACGTCTGGGAGAACGTCTGGGAGAACGTCTGGGAGAACGTCTGAACCAAACTGTGAAAAAAGTCTGAACCAAAGTCACTTTCAAATGTTTTTATAAAGATTTTTCCTCCACAGACGAATCTGAATCTGACTCAAGTGTAAACGACAAAAACATGAAACAGCAGCTTCAGCAAATCAGCAAATACATAATACATTCACTTACAGACGAGTCCAGTCCGAGTCCAGTCCGGGTCCAGTCCGGGTCCAGTCCGGGTCCAGTCCGGGTCCAGTCCGGGTCCAGTCCGGGTCCAGTCCGGTTTGAGTCCTGAGGCTCAATGTTCCTTCTTCTCACACTAATGACCCACGCACACTCACACTAAGGACCCACGCACACTCACACTAATGACCCACGCACACTCACACTAATGACCCACGCACACTCACACTAATGACCCACGCACACGTAGAGCAGAAGTGGAGACGACCAATCACAGCCGTCGCTGTCTGCGTCGCTTTGATGCGTCGTTACAGAAGATCAGAAGTGCAGACGCTCTGACACTCGACCCAGAACCACCGACCTTCAGGCTGCAGGAGCATTTCAACAGAACAGCGCCACAGTCCTGGTTTAGTCCAGGTTCAGTCCAGGTTCAGGTTCAGTCCAGGTTCAGTCTGGGTTCAGTCCGGGTTTAGTCCGGGTTCAGTCCGGATCTTGGCTCTTGCTGCCCTCTCGGCTGCGTTGGCCCCGCCCCCTGATGACCTCACAGAGGATGGCGTGGGCGGTGCGTCTGATTGGCCGGCTGGTGGCGCTGTAGAGCAGCAGGTTGAGGGCGGTGTTGAGCATGGCGGCCATGTTGGAGAGGTCGTACAGGAGGTGCACCCTCCACGAGCGGTTCACAGTCTCAACATGGAGGTGCAGGAGCAGCGCCAGCACCCGAGGGCCCCACAGCAGCGAGAAGAGCCCCGAGAGCGACAGGGGGAGGGCCACGGAGCGAGGGGGGGAGGGGCGAGGGGAGGGGGAGGGGAGGAGCAGGTCCTCAGGGGGAGCTTCAGGTCCGGTCCAGGGTTCAGTCTCAGTCTGGACCTGAGGAACATCAGAGGCACAGATCAGACTCCAGGTTCTTTGTCTCTGGTTTGATTCTTTGTTCGTCTCAGGCAGTAAAATATTTCTTCTGTGTCACAAACACAGTTTGTTCTTTTCACACCAAACCAACCAAACCTGGTCCCAGATGTTTGTCCAAGTCTCCTGCACACGGCGAGTTCCTCTGCACCAGGCTGAGGGACGCCAACGCCGAGACGCACCACGACCTCTGGGACGAGAAGCTGAGACGCTCCGTCTCACCGTGGCCTTCGCACGGAGCTCCTCCACAGGTACAGACGGACAGGTCGGTCCCTGTCCCGCGAGTGGAGCCTGGACCCGACCCCAAACCCACCAGAAGGTCCACACCAGAGTTTGACATTTGGTGCAGATCCGAATGTGACTGAAACTTTCACACCAACGAAAATCCTGAGGGTTTTTTCACAGTGACAGCAGGTGGTGCACCAAACACCACTGACTCCAGAAGCTCTTAGCTGGGTTGGTTTGGGATTTAGTTGGTTTTGGTTTTGGTTGGTTTTGGTTTTGGTTGGTTTTGGTTTTGGTTTTGGTTGGTTTTGGTTGGTGTTCATTGGTGTAAAAGTTTCAGTCGCACTTGAATCTTCACTAAATCAAACGGACCAACATCTCAAAAAAGAGCTGGTCTCAGTCGCTTGACTCTGCACCAAACACCAAACTCTGGTCCCTCTGGTGACGCCAACTCAGGTCCAAACCAGAGACAGCAGGTCCACACCAACTGTTCCAGATGCATCATGGGAGGACAGGCTGGGACTCCTGAAGTGAGCTCCGGTGAAGAGCAGTCAGGTCAGGGAGGTTCTTAGGCGAGTTGGAGAAACTGTCAGAGGCTGAGCTCCGCTCAGGGGACAGGGACCGACCTGTCCGTCTGTACCTGTGGAGGAGCTCCGTGCGAAGGCCACGGTGAGACGGAGCGTCTCAGCTTCTCGTCCCAAAGGCGTCTGCGTCTCTGAGCCTCGTGCAGAGGAACTCGCCGTGTGCAGGAGACTTGGACAAACATCTGGGACCAGGTTTGGTTGGTTTAGTGTGAAAAGAACAAACTGTGTCTTGTGACACAGAAGAAATATTTTACTGCCTGAGACGAACAAAGAACCATCAGAATGAAAACTCCTAAACGTAGAAACGACTCAACGTGATGCTGAGGTTTAGTTTAAAGTCGTCTCAGGTCGGTGAAGTCGAGGCGCCGCCGCACTGAGCTTCATCTGACTGAAGCTGAACTCGTCTCCCTCATGTCTGTGCGACACTAAAGGTGCCGTGCTCAGGGGCACAGGGTCTGCTCCTGTCAGAGAGACAGGTGCGGTCAACAGTGACCCACCTGCCGACCCCTGTCACTGCCTGTCGCTCATGAAGCTCACTGAGATGCCCACAGGAGCGGCGCCGGACACCAAGACCACCCGACTGCAGGACCACGCTAAGCCCCTCCCCCTCCGCTATAAGCCACTCCCCCTTCATTCTAAGCCCCTCCCCCTCCTCTGTTGCCGTGGAGATGCAGATGTGATCCGCGTTTCCGTGGTTACAGACTCACCTGCGGCGCAGCGTCCAGATGATGCGCGCGTTCAGCGTGAGGAAGATGGAACAGGGCAGGAAGTAGATGATGGTCACGTGACTCCAGATGAGGGCGGCGTCTCGGCGAGAGGGCAGTGCCCGCGTCCTCCACAGATCCGGCCAATAGAAGAAGGGGATCCCCGAGGCCAACGCCAACGTCATCACGGCGCCGATGGTGCGGCGCGTCCGGGACGGAGAGCGCAGCCTCCGGTGCAGCAGCGGGTGACACAGCGCCACGTACCGGTCGATCGTCAGAGGGACCGCCGCCCAGATGGACGCGTGGTTGGCGGCGAACTCCGCCGCGCTCACCGCACGAAGAACCAGAACAGGAACCGCACGATGGAAAACCGCCGTCTCCAACAGGAAGTCCACCAGCACGATGCACACCTGAGACAGGAGCGCATTTGAGACAGGGGCGCACCTGAGACAGGGGCGCACCTGAGACAGGGGCGCACCTGTCCTATGAGCTGTGACGTGTATAAACTGACCTGAGCGAGGATGTCTGCCGCGGTGATGGAGATGAGGAAGGAGTAAAGCGGAGACTTGGAACGAGACGAAAGACGAACGAGAGACGCCAACGTCACCACGTTCACTACAGAGACAGGAACTACACTGTTACACTGTTACACAGCAGAGGTCAGAGGTCAGGGGTCAGAAACTACACTGAAACTGAACAGTGAAAAAGTGAAACTGACAAACATTTAAAAAAAACACATCTCAAATAAAAGTGAAGCAGGTTTAGTCCAGCAGGACATACAAATATAAAATCGTTTTATTTTGTGATTCCACATGAGTTTAAACGAGTCTCAGGCTCTGGAGCTGCACAAGACTCAGGTCGACCTGAAGTCCACACACGAGTCGAAAGCTCCAGAACCTCATGTTTCTGACCCTGATGACGTAAAGACCAACAGTGTCCTACAGGACGACCTGACCCTGACCTGACCCCTGGGCTCAGTGTTTGGAGAGGATAAACACAGGCTCACACCTGCCAGGCTCTGACAGGGTCACACCTGCCAGGCTCTGACAGGGTCACACCTGCCAGGCTCTGACAGGGTCACACCTGCCAGGCTCTGACAGGCTCACACCTGCCAGGCTCTGACAGGGTCACATTGGACAGGGTCTCACCTGGCAGCCCCACACACAGCAGGACGGTGTAGTAAACCACAGGCACTGCCCCGAGGACACATCTGGACCGAGTCTGGTCCGGATCCGAATCCGGTCCCGAGTCTAGACCAGGTCTGAGCCCGTCTGAACCGGACCGGGACTCGTTGGACCAGGACCAGGACCAGGACTGCATCACCACCGGGTCTAAAGAGAGAACAGAGAGAACAGAAGAGAAGAACATTAGAACATGGATTAAGGCTCAGAGTCAGGTCAATGTGTCTGTCTGCGTGTGTATGTGTGTGTGTGTGTGTGTGTGTGTCTGTGTGTGTGTGTGTGTGTCTGTGTGTGTGTGTGTGTGTCTGTGTGTGTGTCTGTGTGTGTGTGTGTGTGTGTGTGTGTGTGTGTGTGTGTGTGTGTGTGTGTGTGTCTGTGTGTGTGTGTGTGTGTGTCTGTGTGTGTGTGTGTGTGTGTTTCTGTGTGTGTGTCTGTGTGTGTTTCTGTGTGTGTGTGTGTTTCTGTGAGTGTGTATTTGTTTGTTTTGCTCGCTGCTGATTGGAGGATTTCACACCTGAGCGATCACATGACCTGAGTTTAACCTGTGACCTGTGACCCCGCACACATGTTTGTCACTTGTGGCTCTCCTCCCTCTCTTCTCTTCCTCTTCTCCTCCTTTGTTCCAGAGATAAATTTGTCGTCGTCGTTAAATCTGTTGGACTCGTGTTTTTTGTCTCTGTGTTTCTTCTCTCAACATTTCTTCACTTCACCCACACGTTTCTCACTTTTCTTTAAGCTCAGGTCCAGACGCTCAGGTCCAGGTCGAGTGTGTGACCTGTGTGACTTGTGTGACTTGTGTGACCTGTGTGACCTGTGTGACTTGTGTGACCTGTGTGACCTGTGTGACTTGTGACTTGTGTGACTTGTGTGACTTGTGTGACCTGTGTGACTTGTGTGTCCTGTGTGACTTGTGTGACCTGTGTGACTTGTGTGACCTGTATGATCTGTGTGACCTGAGAGACTTGTGTGACCTGAGTGACTTTATGAACATCTGCTTCATCAAATTTTGTCTCTGCTTCTGCTGTTTTGTAAACTTTTGGCTCAGTTTGAGTTTGTTTAATTCAGTAAACACGACGTTCACCTGTCAACCTGTCCTTTCACCTGTCTGTCCTTTCACCTGTCCGTCCTTTCACCTGTCCGTCCTTTCACCTGTCTGTCCTTTCACCTGTCTGTTCTTTCACCTGTCTGTCCTTTCACCTGTCTGTCCTTTCACCTGTCTGTCCTTTCACCTGTCTGTTCCTTTCACCTGTCCGTCCTTTCACCTGTCTGTCCGTCCTTTCACCTGTCCGTCCTTTCACCTGTCCGTCCTTTCACCTGTCCGTCCTTTCACCTGTCCGTCCTTTCACCTGTCTGTCCTTTCACCTGTCTGTCCTTTCACCTGTCTGTCCTTTCACCTGTCCGTCCTTTCACCTGTCTGTCCTTTCACCTGTCACAGGTTTAGACTCTTTCTGTTGGTTCTTTGGATCTTCAGGTGAATCCAGGTGCTCCTCGGCTCAGATGATTCTAGTGAAGATGTGTGGAGTTTAAAAACACAGTGGAGCAGTTCCTGTATCACCACATGATGACATCACACAGTGGAACAGAGTGTCTTCAGAATGAGAGAAGAACTCGTGTTAAATGTGCAGGTTTGTGTGTGAAACATGTGAATGAAACAAAACACAACTCCAGGAAACCACATCAGAACAGGACAGAGCAGAGGATTATGGGACATGGAGTCTCTGTGTAAACTACATTAGAGCAGAGGATTATGGGACATGGAGTCTCTGTGTAAACTACATTAGAGCAGAGGATTATGGGACATGGAGTCTCTGTGTAAACTACATTAGAGCAGAGGATTATGGGATATTGAGTCTGGATTTTTGCCAATTACATTTTGCTCAGTATTTCGTTTTTGCTAAAGTTAAAATTGTGTTATTGTATTTATTTTGCCCTGTGTGTGTGTGTGTGTCTGTGTGTGTGTGTCTGTGTGTGTGTGTGTCTGTGTGTGTGTGTGTCTGTGTGTGTTGTGTGTGTGTGTGTGTGTGTGTCTCTGTGTGTGTGTGTGTGTCTGTGTGTGTGTGTGTCTGTGTGTCTGTGTGTGTGTGTGTCTGTGTGTGTGTGTGTGTGTGTGTGTGTCTCTGTGTGTGTGTGTGTGTGTGTGTGTGTGTGTGTGTCTGTGTGTCTGTGTGTGTGTCTGTGTGTGTGTCTCTGTGTGTCTGTGTGTGTGTGTGTGTGTGTGTGTCTGTGTGTGTCTGTATGTGTGTGTGTGTGTCTGTATGTGTGTGTGTGTGTCTGTGTGTGTGTGTGTGTGTGTGTGTCTGTATGTGTGTGTCTGTGTGTGTCTGTGTGTGTGTGTGTCTGTGTGTGTGTGTGTCTGTATGTGTGTGTGTCTCTGTGTGTGTCTGTGTGTGTGTGTCTCTGTGTGTGTGTCTGTGTGTGTGTGTGTGTGTGTGTGTGTTGTGTGTGTGTGTGTCTGTGTGTGTGTTTGTGTGTGTGTGTTGTGTGTGTCTGTGTGTGTGTGTGTGTCTGTGTGTGTGTGTTTGGTGCAGATGTAACTGAAGCCTCTCGTCACAAAACGTGTTTAATTATTCAGAATCCAGAAAGAAAAGAAAAGAGAAAGAGAAAGAGATGGAGAGGAAGAGGAGATGGAGGGATGGAGGGAGGTGGAGGTGGAGGTTGTTGGAGGACAAAGGTCAAACTAAAACGTCTCGACTAAAAAAACAAAACAAAAACAAACACACAAAAAAACAAAAAAACACTTCCAATCCAAGTCCACCAAATCAGGTCAAACCAGATCTAAACCAGATCAAACCAGATCTAAACCAGATCAAACCAGATCAAACCAGATCAAACCAGATCAAACCAGATCTAAACCAGATCAAACCAGATCTAAACCAAATCTAAACCAGATCTAAACCAGATCAAACCAGATCTAAACCAGATCTAAACCAGATCAAACCAGATCTAAAACCAGATCAAACCAGATCTAAACCAGATCTAAACCAGATCTAAACCAGATCTAAACCAGATCAAACCAGATCTAAACCAGATCAGATCTAAACCAGATCAAACCAGATCATGGAGTGTAACCTGGTGTCAGATTCTCAGGTTTTTGAGTCGTTGTTCTGGGACTTCACAATGGCAGAGTCGTTAACCCTCCTCACAGTTTGAATGTTCTACCTGTGACGGGTCAAACGCAGGTTTAACCCAGAGACACAGAGACACAGACCGGACCTGAGACCAGACCTCAGTCCAGACCTCACATCCCGGATCCTCTGAGTTCTCTGGGTTTGAAAATAAATCCTGTTTTTCCGGATCATTTGGTTTGAAGTGTTTTAAAGACACAGAGTCCAGACCTGATTTAGACCTGGTTTAGTCCTGGTTTAGTCCAGGGTTAGACCTGGTTTAGTCCAGGTTTAGTTCTGGTTGAGTCCAGGGTTAGACCTGGTTTAGTCCTGGTTTAGTCCTGGTTTAGTCCTGGTTGAGTTCTCAGGTTGTTCCAGATTTGAAAATGAACGGAACTGGAGGAAATTCCACCTGTCACTGAGAACAAAACAAGATAAGAACTAAACCAGGACTAAATTAGAACTAGACCAGGACTAAACCAGGACTAAACCAGGACTGAAGCAGGACTAAACCAGGACTAAACCAGAACTAAACCAGAACTAAACCAGGACTAAACCAAGACTAAACCGGGTCTAAACCAGGACTGAACCAAGACTAAACCGGGACTAAACGGGGTCTAAACTAGGACTAAATTAGAACTAGACCAGGACTAAACCAGGACTAAAGCAGGACTAAACCAGGACTAAACCAGGACTAAACCAGAACTTAACCAGAACTAAACCAGGACTAAACCGGGTCTAAACCAGGACTGAACCAAGACTAAACCGGGACTAAACGGGGTCTAAACTAGGACTAAACCAGGACTAAACCAGGTCTAAACCAGGTCTAAACCAGGATTAAACCGGGTCTAAACCAGGACTAAACCGGGTCTAAACCAGGACTAAACTGGGTCTAAACCAGGTCTAAACCGGGTCTAAACCAGGACTAAACCGGGTCTAAACCAGGACTAAACCGGGTCTAAACCAGGACTGAACCAAGACTAAACGGGGTCTAAACCAGGACTAAACGAGAACTAAACCGGGTCTCACCTGGGGGGGGTCTGGGTGCAGGAGGCTCAGACTTGTGCAGTTCTGCAGAAACATGGTCCAGACCTGGAGACACAAACTGAGGGCAGATCCACCACGAGGCCCAGAGACTGAAGACGAGGAGCAAGAGGAGGAAGACGAGGAGGAAGACGAGGAGGAAGAGACGGACTGAAGGACGAATGGAAAAGAGAGAGAGAGAGAGAGAGAGAGAGAGAGAGAGAGGGAGGAGGAGGAGTCTGTGGGGACGGAGAGATCTGATACGCAAACAAAAGAGAGAGAGAAAAAACAATGACAGGGGAGAGAGAGTCCTGGTTCAGTCCTGGTTCAGTCCTGGTTCAGTCCTGGTTTAGTCCTGGTTTAGTCCTGGTTTAGTCCTGGTTCAGTCCTGACCTTGGTCCTTGAGGAGTCTCTCGGGTTTTATGGATTTGTTTTAAATCTCAGAGTTTTTTTTTTAGGTTCAGTTTGTGGGAAAAAAAAGAAGAAAAGTCCAGAAGATCTGAGACGAGTGAAAGTGAACATGTGTGAAAGACCAGAATCAGACCAGGATCAGACCAGAATCAGACCAGGATCAGACCAGAATCAGACCAGGATCAGACCAGGATCAGACCAGAATCAGACCAGGATCAGACCAGAATCAGACCAGGATCAGACCAGAATCAGACCAGGATCAGACCAGGATCAGACCAGGATCAGACCAGGATCAGACCAGAATCAGACCAGATCAGGATCAGACCAGGATCAGGGTTGAAACAGGAGTGAGACATGAGCAGCATTATTATGTGTCAACATGTTCATTATTATGGATAAACACACACACACACACACACAACACACACACACACACACACACACACACACTATACACACACTATACACACACACACGGGAACCATGGGCACTGCCAGAGGGCACTGGTGTGTGTGTGTTGTGTGTGTGTGTGTGTGTGTGTGTGTGTGTGTGTGTGTGTTTTGTGTGTGTGTTGTGTGTGTGTGTGTGTGTGTTGTGTGTGTGTGTGTGTGTGTGTGTGTGTGTGTGTGTGTGTGTGTGTGTGTGTGTGTGTGTGTGTGTGTGTGTGTGTGTGTGTGTGTGTGTGTGTGTGTGTGTGTGTGTGTGTGTGTGTGTGTGTGTGTGTGTGTGTGTGTGTGTGTGTGTGTGTGTGTGTGTGTGTGTGTGTGTGTGTGTGTGTGTGTGTGTGTGTGTGTGTGTGTGTGTGTGTGTGTGTGTGTGTGTGTGTGTGTGTGTGTGTGTGTGTGTGTGTGTGTGTGTGTGTGTGTGTGTGTGTGTGTGTGTGTGTGTGTGTGTGTGTTGTGTGTGTGTGTGTGTGTGTGTGTGTGTGTGTGTGTGTGTGTGTGTGTGTGTGTGTGTGTGTGTGTGTGTTGTGTGTGTGTGTGTGTGTGTGTGTGTGTGTGTGTGTGTGTGTGTGTGTGTGTGTGTGTGTGTGTGTGTGTGTGTGTGTGTGTGTGTGTGTGTGTGTGTGTGTGTGTGTGTGTGTGTGTGTGTGTGTGTGTGTGTGTGTGTGTTGTGTGTGTGTGTGTGTGTGTGTGTGTGTGTGTGTGTGTGTGTGTGTGTGTGTGTGTGTGTGTGTGTGTGTGTGTGTGTGTGTGTGTGTGTGTGTGTGTGTGTGTGTGTGTGTGTGTGTGTGTGTGTGTGTGTGTGTGTGTGTGTGTGTGTGTGTGTGTGTGTGTGTGTGTGTGTGTGTGTGTGTGTGTGTGTGTGTGTGTGTGTGTGTGTGTGTGTGTGTGTGTGTGTGTGTGTGTGTGTGTGTGTGTGTGTGTGTGTGTGTGTGTGTGTGTGTGTGTGTGTGTGTGTGTGTGTGTGTGTGTGTGTGTGTGTGTGTGTGTGTGTGTGTGTGTGTGTGTTGTGTGTGTGTGTGTGTGTGTGTGATCTGATGCTTCTGATGTGTCCATGAGCAACACACCTCAGCCCAAAGAACAACAGGAACAACAAGAGGAACGAGACGAGAGAAGAAGAAGAAAGGAGAGAAAAAGAGGAGGGGGGGGGGCTGTAAGTCAAACTGTCGATGCTTCATGAGCCGTGAAATGAACTCACTACAAATACTGCAGATACTGCAGATACTGCAGATACTACATCACTACTGCAAATACTGCAGATACTACATCACTACTGCAAATACTGCAGATACTACATCACTACTGCAAATACTGCAGATACTACATCACTACTGCAAATACTGCTAATACTGCAAATACTACAAATACTGCAAATACTACAAATACTGCAGATACTGCAAATACTGCAAATACTGCAGATACTGCAGATACTGCAGATACTACATCACTACTGCAAATACTGCAGATACTACATCACTACTGCAAATACTGCTAATACTGCAAATACTACAAATACTGCAAATACTGCAAATACTACAAATACTACAAATACTGCAAATACTGCAAATACTACAAATATTACATCACTACTACAGATACTGCAGATACTACTGCAGAGTACTACAGAGTACTACATCAGTACTACATCAGTACTACAGAGTACTACTGTAGGACCAGGACCAGGAGCCAGGACCAGGACAGGACCAGGACCAGGACCTGGACCTGGACCAGGACCTGGACCTGGACCTGGACCTGGACCAGGACCAGGACCTGGACCTGGACCAGGAGCTGGGTCAGATCAGGTGGAGGATCCTTTAGGTCCTGAGTGGATTTAAAGTCCACATCAGTTTGTCAAAGTTTGGTCCCGTCACATTTCACAAACTCAAGAGTCTGAGTCTGATGAGACACTGAGAACATCAGGAGCTACAGGACGCACCAGGAAAAAACATGTGTCCTTGGGCAATACACTTCACCCACACTGAAAGTGGTGTGTGTGTGCATGTGTGCGTGTGTGTGTGTGTTTGTGTGTTGTATAAATGCAAAGATGAATGAATGAATTAAAGTTGTATTGTGTAACTTTCCTGGTCGAGGCTCCGTCCTGTGACTGAATCAATGTAAAGTGGAGCTGTTTAAAGTCACACTGTGGAACATTCACACAGAGCAGAGACGTCTCCATAGAAACACGCAGGTGATGAATCCAAACCAGAAAAGTTCCACAAAGCAGATGAACGAACAACTTCAGCTGAAAACCTTTTTTTTTTTTTTTCCAAAGATTTTTTATTAAATAGAAATTTTCCAGTGACAAAAACAAAATCACTCAAAATAAACATTTACTCCAAAAATATCACAAGAATATTTCATTTCATTTGAGAAAAACAAACAAAACAAAAAACTGAGAAATTTTTACATTTCTTCAAATTTCACACAAAAATATTTCATTGGTTTGAAACAGAGGCACAAAAACAAAAACAAAACCAAAGCAGCAGAAACACCAGAGTTTTTATCTGGGGGTAAAACGAGGAGGACGTGTCATATTTAAATCTCCATGTTTCTTTTATTGTTCTGAAAATGTTTTTTTCGCCCAAAACAACAGATTAAAAAGTTTTTAAAGTTTCTCTCCTCCCTTTGCTCTCTGTGCTGAGTTGCCCCCCCTTCAGAACGTCGCACTAATGAAACTCCTGCACAAACATCAGGTTTGTCGTGTTGTTGTGTTCAGTTTTTTGTAGAGTTTTTGTGTTTTTATGGAGGATTGTTGTGTGGGAGCCTGGGGGGCGGAGCCTTGTACAGACTCGTACTGTGGGAGCATGTGGGCGGAGCCTCGTACAGACTCGTACTGTGGGAGCCTGGGGGGCGGAGCCTCGTACAGATTCGTACTGTGGGAGCATGTGGGCGGAGCCTCGTACAGACTCGTGCTGTGGGAGCATGGGGGCGGAGCCTTGTACAGACTCGTACTGCCGCTGACTAGTAAGGAGGCTTTGAATAGGGCTCAGGAGAGATCTCTAGATGACTCAAACATGGATGAGTCTTCCTGTTTGTGATGAGGAAGCGTCGCTCTTTAACACGACTGTTTTAGGTTTTAAAAATACTGTGAAATATTCAGGTTTATAATTTTGTTTTAAATTTCAGAGATTTAATCCGTTTAAATTTAATTGTAGTTTTTATGCAACAGGACCAAGAGAAGGAGGCGAGGACACAGGAAAGGGACTAGGCAGTAGGAGGCGAGTTTAGGAAATGTGACACGGCCAAAAAACAGACCTGGGTCAGCTCAAGTGTGGACCAGGACTAAACCAGGACTAAACCAGAACTAAACCA